TCATTAAATAAAAATGCATACAAAATTATGGATTTTAATAAAATAAAAAAATCAATCATTAAATAATATACAAAATTATATAATAAAATTATATAAAAATATTATCTTTCAATCATTTTCCATTTCTATTGTGATTTGGAAGATTTGCATATGGGAGAGGGAAAAGTTTAGAAGAGGTCAAGTGGCAAGAGAAGGGTGAGGAAAGGATGAGGGCATTTTGGTCCTTTCCTATATGATGAAAGCTTATTTACTATCGAATTCACCTCTTGACATTCACGTCAACATTAGAACGTCCAATAATGACTAATGTCTAATAACCCACCAATTTTAATTATAATTTTATTTGTTTATCATTTTTTTTAAACAGTTTATCAATTTTTAAAAATATATATTTATAAATTAATTTTAATTTATTAAATAATAAATATTAACTATTTTATTAATTATTGACTATTTTTAATGATTAAATAAAGATGAAATTTTAACCGTTTTAATAGCCTTAACAAAATTAATAGTAATTATAACCATAACCTATGATAATACATCAAGATATTCTATAATAATAGATATTATAAATAAAAATCACATTAAATCTCTTATTTTAAACTTTTTCTTTTTAAAAAGTAATTTATAGAGCAACTAATCAAATTATTAATATAAAAGTACTTTCTCACTCATATATCCAAGGTGTAAACCATTATTTCTCTCTCTCCATCCCTCTCCTCAATAAGAGTTTCAATTAATTGTCCTCTTCCATAAAAAAAAATTTCCCCTCTTCTCTTTTAATTAGATACTCAAAAAGATCATTAAAAAAAAAAAAACTCCAAGAACTTGGTCTAAATTTCATATTAATGAAGAAAGATCTACAAATATACGTAATTTTAGCAAAACTGATTCTGCTTTCTGATGTTATTCAGCACATGAGCATACAAATCCTATAAAACCAGGGAAAACAGAAAAATATATAATAATTTGATAATTAATGATGTTTTCTTCTCTTTTATAACTGTCTAAACCCTACAGAAAAGTTTGTAGTCATTCTGCACAAAAGAAAGTTTGGCATTTGAACTTGATGTTTTTATTCTCCTCGTATAAACCATTATCTTAATTTAATAAATAAGCTATTTGAATTAGCCTTCATTCTTCTGAGATTTTGAAAAATGTATAGGACAAGATAAGGTTGTTGATGCCGTCCATTTTAGGATCGGTTTCAAACTTGGGGTCGATGTAGAAGAAAATATGCAAAGACCTGCCATTGAATAAGAAAAAGACACTAAAAACTTACAAAGGCCTCCACACTTACAGGCAAATAAATCTGATCTCCAGGAAGGAGACGCTACTCCTCAAAGTTTGTTGAAGTAAACTGCAGCCTGAAAAAGAGAAAGAAAATAGAAGCAGACAGATTAACTGAGCCAACCTCCCAAACAGTTGCGAAGCCAGCATTTGAGATGAGGAAAACTAAATTCGTAGACACTTAACTCAAAATAGTGTTATTATTTTTTTTAGTCTA